CCAACAATGAGTAACTGTACCATATCCCTAAAATGTACCAATAAACTCAATTAAAGCTGAAAAAAAAGAAGAATTCTGGAAATAGTAAATGAGTCAAAATGAAGTAGATTAACTGTAAAAGGAAGAATCATAAATAATGCCTAGGGACCTGGCGTGACTAGATGTGATGGGATTTACTAAGGGGGAAGGTGTTAGGGTCCAAGAGGAAGAAGATAGTGACGTATGGGAATGCTGATGTGAAGGCTGTTGGAGACAGCAATCCATCTTGCTCATGTCGACAGCAACGTATTTGTGGGCCTCTAAATACCGATCTCGAGAATACAGTCCACATTTTTAGCCTAAAGTTCAAAAAATCATTCAAAATACAGATTTTGAATTTATTTGTAACTGCAGCCATGAGAATGGACTAGAGCTTCTAAAATCTTTTCAGAATGAAAGGAGAGGCTCTAAGAAAAAAAAGATAGGATTGATGGAACTGGAGAGCCTAAAGAGTTCTGATAGAAATAAATTAAGAGAGCATTGCATCATCAAAGAAAAACAAAGACCAATTTTTCAACAAGACAGAAAACATTCAAAGGGAAGACAGAAGGCGTATAAATAAGAGGTTCTTCTTGACCTGTTTCTCAAAAGAGCTTTTGATATGAGTCAAGATTACTCATTTAGAAATAAAAATAAATTTGTGGATTTTCTCACTAAAAAAGAAAAACTGTAACTTATACAATAAAACCTCCAATCTATTCATCACTTTACAAATATATATTCTTCAAATTATGATCTACGGTTCACCATCATCAAAACTTGTTAGATATCAAAATTTGGGGTTATGTTCTAGAAAAAACACAAATCAGAAACACTAGGTTGGACTTTGTCACTTTGAATTTTGACCTGCCCTTCAGGTGATTCTGGGGGAATTTGGGAGCCAACACAAATATGAAGTACCACTTACTTGCCCATTTGCTCATTTTCTCAGACTACTGGCTTGCTTCGTAGTGCTAAACATGACATTTCTTATCATCCCCCAGAGCTAAGCGGTGAGTGAAGTTTTCAAGTCTAAAATTTGAGTATCATTTGAAATCATATTTCCATTTTATATTTAATGATCTTATATGGGGAATGCAGTAGCTGTGGCTCATGTGTGGTGACTGTATGTTTGTGACATCTAAATTGTATATTTTAGAATGTAATATGGACATTAGTGTTCCATAATAATTTCTTAAATGAAATTTTATGTGTGTGTGCACTCCTACGCATGTGTAAACACAGCTCATGAAGATTTTAAGGTGAGCATTTGTTATGCAACCTAAGAAATACTCAGCATCAGTATGTATATTGTATGCACATATTTATGTCAGCGTGTAGGTGACACAGAATCATTCAGTGATTTCTAAACTGCAAAGCAACTAAGTTAATCAGTAATATTTAGGTTCAAATCCTGTCCACTGCTTGGTAACTAATTAATCTTAGGAAAATACCATAAATTTTTGAGCCCCAGTTTTGACCACTGTGAAAGTGTTATAATATTTCCTATCGTAACAATCTATGTCCCTCCCAAAGTTTTTGTGCTGGAAACTTATTCCCAAATATAATAGTGTTGAGCCTTTAAAAGATGGTAAAATCAAGGGTTTTCCCCTAGTGATAGATCAAGAAAGTGGGGTTTTGTCTAAGAAGGAGATACTTCTAAATAATAAATCAGGACTCCCCATTCCTTGCCCAGGGGCTGCCTTTTTAATTTTTTTCTAATCTTAAAAATTATACACGTATTTACAATCAAAATCAGAATCATTTTAAAGATAAAACAAGAATTCAAAGTAATTGTAAATTGGCATTTTGAGCTACGTCTTTACACCCTGTCTTTGAGGAGGATTTCAGAAGATGAGTGAAGCAATGACCTGGGAGACTCTATGTTCTTCAAGTGTAGCCAGGTCTTTACTGCCAATGAATATAAACATTCAAAGCCTTGGCTCATTCTTCTGAGTTACATCTTCAAAAGTAATGTAATTTGCTGCTTAAATATGTAAGTCCTGTCTATACTGATCAGGAAAAGGTCAGAGAACTCCAGACTGACTTTTATTTTACATTATTTAATAATTAGAGGAATGTTACCATGAAACTTTACTGATTTGCAAATAAAAATATACAACACATGTTGTATAAAAAATAATGGAATCATGAAGCCAAAAGTTTAGATCTTATGCACAACTGTAATGGGAACAGTTACTCTGGGTGGTTTTAACCTTCTTTCAAATATATATGTGATTATATCATTTTTGTTCTTTACACCCTCCTGACCACACAAGTAGATAAGTATGTGGACCTTCCTGAGCCATTAATTACATTATTTTCTGGAGGATCCCAGATCTAGTAGGGATTTTTTCTTGACACCAAAAAGATCCTTTCAGTAATGTCATGGGGATTAAATCCAAACCGCTTGTCAACAATAACTACTGATCAAATAGAAAGTCAATGGTTATTTGTTGCATAAGTAACATTCATAAAGAGCAAAATGAAGTTTCCAGTGACATTATATGAGGCAAATTTACAAACTTTTTTCTTCAACAATGGGTCAACTTCAAAAGGCCATATAAGAAAAACATTATCTATAAATTGAGTCATCATTCAACACACTTAATGATTAAATATAGTTAAATATGACACTAGATCAAAAATGATCCAAGCTAATTTAAAGAACAATCTCATTAATCCCACAACTTAATAAGACCATCCCAGCCACATGTGATGACTTTAGACATTTCGTGAGGATGCCACACTGCACCTATGCACACTTTCTCATGAGCTTTAAATTGTCTGTATAGTTTTGTGGTCTTCCAGTCCCAAATGTTTAATTTTCCATTTCCACCTCCTAAAATCACACAGCTCATATCTGGTGAAAAGTCCACTTGACAAGCATAGCCTGCTACCATATAGCCCTTAAAATTTTTTTTCTTATTCAGTCTGAATCTATTCGGTGCTCCAAAAATTAAGATTTGATTATCCATTGATTGGCACGCTAGCCATTTCCCGTTTGGAGACAAAATAACTGCAGGCTTTGAGTGCATACTGGGTTCAGCTATACACTTGAATTCCACAGGGAGATCCCATTCCCAAACTCTTAAACTCTTATCATCAGATATACTCACAAGTCTTTTATTCTCATCAACAAAAGCAATGGTGTTGACAGCTCCCAAATGTCGATCATATTCCTGCACAATTTCTCCACTTTGAATGTTCCATCGCACAATCTTTTTATCAGACATCCCAGCCACAAAAAGATTTTGTTCATCTTAATCAGGATTGAATTTGACACAATAGGGTACTTTTCAGTTTGTGAATCTTGATATACATTGTCGAGTCAGTGTCCCAGAGTCTAAAATACCTGTCATAGGCTTGAGCTGAGGAACTAGGTTCCTGCAGTATTGAAATAGATGTCCCTAACAGCTTTACTGTGACCAATAAATGTTTGTAGACAGCACCAGTCTCCGTAAACCTACCATAGCTTAATTTTACAGTCCACGGTACAAGACAGCAATAAGTGGCCAGAGAGAGGAAACAGTCTTACTTTCTTACTTCACTGACACCCTCTCTGTGTCCATCCCACACATGAATCTGTTTTTGGGAAGGTAACACTTTTCAGGTGGCATAGTGGACTGCAGATTAACATCATCGTCCTGAGACATGTGAAGCTGGACTTGCTTTGATAGTCATGAATTTCCTTGACATGGAAGATTCTCTTCTCCCCAGGTTTCTCTTCTTCCTATTTGCCTTCCCCCCCACCTCTTTGCTGTGATTTCATCCAATTATTTTTGCTCTTCCTCTGAAGGTTTGGCTATACCTTTTTCATGCACATATTTTGCCCATGGTCCAAGAAACCGTCGATATTAGATGCATCATTTTCTTTAAACTTTGTCTTTCTGTTTTCTTCTGACCAGTTTCAAACACAGGTAAATCTTGATTTTTTTTTTCAGATTCTTCTACAGAACCAATATATCTAGCACATTCTTGACAAAGGATCTAAATGTATAACCATCTGTAACACAAGTTCTCCTTTGCTGTTCAATCATGCAATCATTGATATGAGCTGGTTCAGCATATCCAGAAAGCATATTTCTAGGAGCAGCCATTTGCTGTGTTCTAAACGGATTTTCTGGTCCAAACTCAGGAGCAAACATGGTCTCATAGGTAGGATTATATTGAACTTCCTTGACAGCAGGGTCAAGGTGAACTCCAATCTCCAAATCTTCTTTAACTGCCGCCCCTGGAGCCGAGTCTACCGCCACTCTCAGAGAAGGGTTGGCCAAAGGCGACTTAGTCAAGTACATGAGAGAGTCAGTGGCTGACAGCGGACAACAACGGCCCCCACTGTCAGAGTCTGATTAGGACGCCGAACCTGAACTATAGGAAGTGCCCAGAACTGCAATTCCTGCCCACTAGACTGCAAGGGATCAGGAGAAACTAGGCCCTGGTGGAAGCAGCAGCAGATCCCAGGTCCTGACAGATTGGGACGGGACACATTCTTCACCTGTTTTGCTAAGAAATCATATTTGGCACTTTGAAATGATAAGTTGATTAATATAAGAGCAGCAACCAAACTGGAGTTTTGGAAACTTATTCAGAGGGTCAGAAGGACGTAAAGTACTTCATAACTTTCAGGACCTAGCAGGTTAGAGGAAAGAGTAGGTCTGAAATACCTTAAAGGCCTGGAGGTTCGGATTGCTGACCTTTGACACGAATAATCGTACAATAAGCACTTGTTTAATCTCTTTAGTGTCTCTGTACTTGTATGCTGAGACTGTAAGTTCCTCAGAGCTTTATTTTTGCAAATACAGTGGAGTTGGAAATGTTTTTAACTTTTATTTCTCTCAGATATGTAAGAGAAACAGCATTCTTGATTATTTGCTTATTTTATGGGTTCTGCAACTACTGGGGAGGTAAACCTAAACAGGAATATTTCTAAATGTTTGGGAAGTATTTTTCCTTTTCAGCACCCAGGCCAAAACCTAAAGTTTTCTTTATCTTCCATCTCTAATGATATTGCAGTTTAGGCTTTTGCTGAATATTTCACTATTCACATATTCAGGCTTCAGGTGAAAGTCTGCATTGCAACTTCCTCTTTAAATTGTCCAAAGCCTTGTCTTGCATTGTATAACCCTTGGTTCCCAAGTTAAAATGATTTGCAACTATCCCCTAAATCTTAGTATTTATCAACAGCTATCATTTTTAGTTTTCCCAGATCTACCTTGGAGATTTCTGTTACTCCCTTCCAGGCTTGGCTAGGAAGTTAAAAAATAGTTGAATTTTATGGAAACTTTTAGTTTTCTGTAATAAGGGCTTTTCTGGTTGTTGAGTTTATAATATTTATTTCTAAAACTCTTTAGCAATCAGATTTCCATTGATTTCCATTGGTACACTGAGGTCTCAAATATATTGCCAAGTAAATAGAATCTAACAAGTATCAACCATTTTCTAATTCAGAGAATTAATAAAATGACCAGATTTTCTTGGAGAAGTATTTGCAGATCAGTGGTGGATAAAGCACCGGAGTAAGAGTGAGTCCATCAGATGCTAAAAATCAAAACGTAAGCATTAATCAGGTTGAAAAAAGTTCTTCCATATAATTATAAGGAACATGATTTTAAATAAAACAAATATCATTGAAGGGTTTAAATCTGGCTGGTGGGACAGGCAGCCCATGGAAAGAGAATATACTAAAGTTCTCTGGAGAACAGGAGGTCTTCAACTGCTTGGAAAGGCCCACCCACATTATTAACGGCAAGTGAATTTACTTAGTCTGTAAGTTTAATTATTAATCTCATTTTTTAAAAACCCTCATAGAAACATCAAGAACAATGTTTGACCAAGTGTCTGACCACCCTCTGGCAACTTCTGACACTCATAATTAGCCACCACAGTGCTCATCTTTGAGAATTCGTCTGATATTCTTACACATTGCTATTTCTAGGTGGCTTTTGATTTGCTTACTGTTTTGCTTTGCTGTTTGTAAGTTCCTTGTCTAGTATTCTGTCTTTTAGCATAT